CTTATTTTTCATTAAACAACAATCCAAGGGGCCGTCTTCACTTGGTCCACACAAGGCTACCCGTTTCCTTGCTCGGTGCTGTAAGAGCTGGCACAGTCATAGTTATTTACAAGGTTCTCTGTAGGCAGGTTCTTCTCCAAGCTAGAGGAACGTGATCGTGAAGATGAATGCCAACCAGTAAAAGGCACGTCTGTTCATCTGTTAGGGCGGACGCGCTGTGCACAGGCACAAACCCACATGCCCACAGCTCCCCATAGAGAGGGAAACACCCTGAGAGCCTTCGTCTGTATGTTTCTTGAGTGGAAGATTAACATTCCCATAGACTATTACTTGCCGTTAGAGGAGAGCCTGGAAAGGCCCCATTGCACAAGGCAGGCCAGCTGGTTCCCGCCCAAAGAACGGACTTGAACACTGGGTTCCATCTGTTTCAATCGCTTGGCATCCAGGTTTTGTGGGGCACACTTGAGGTTCTTATTCAATGACACATTTGTTTCCCCTTGTGTCTTCAGGCCAGCAACAGCCACGTTTTGGGGGAAGCATGAGTTGTCCTGGGCTTCATTTTGTATTCGAGGTCAGTGAGGAGAACAGGGAGCCTCTCCCTGCCTACCCTCCTCTTGATGTCCGTGGTGGCTCAGCCGGCAGCATGGCTTAGCATCACATTGTTACATCTTATGTGGCTCAGTTCTACCACCTCACCAAGTCAGCAGCTGGAAGACAGGGGCCATGTGTGCTGCATGTGTTGTGTGGTTACTGTCCCCACAGCACCATCCGGAGGGTGGACATGGCAAAGGCTCTATAGCTGTCAACAAACTCAAGTCCAAAGGGCTCCTGTACTCCGTCATCATAGAAATGAAACCTCCCACTTATTTAAATGCTTCCTAAATGGATTATTAACAGGTCAAGATTTTACAACTGACGGTGGACGATTTGGCCTGTAGTGCAAATATTCATTGACTTACTGTGTGGGGGGCTCTGCCCAGAGGTTAGGGGCACAGTGGTGACAAAGGCAGCCCCCCTCTGTCCTCAGTGAGCACATACATGTCGAAGACGCACCCATGGGCCAGCACACTGATAGACACTGTGGACTCCACCAAATGTGATAGAGCATGGCCTCGCTTTAGAGGAAATTCAGCCCTACTCAGAGTCTTAAATATGTGCTGTGAGTGGTGAGTTACTGGGTTGCTAACTTGTTTTATGTCAGGTAAAACATGGGCTGAATCTACTCCTCAGTGTAAATTCGGAGGCAAAGTAAGTTTAACCCTAAAGATTTGAGTAACAGAGACTAAAACGATACATTTTGGCTTAAGTCTAAATGAGGTGATGTGACATGACGGTGGAGACGAGGGTCCCAGGGGAGTTCTCTTCTGGGTCTAAAATTATAACTGCACTCAGTGTTCTTGCATATGTTCATGGATGACCTCATAACGTGGCATCACAAACGCCTGAGATGCCCCTCCCCAGGCTTACTGCACCTGAGTGCCCAAGAGCAGGCCAAGAAGTCTACAATCATAACAATCCCCAGATGGTCTATAAAAATGGAATGGTAGAGGAATCTGACCTCCTGTAACTTCACAAGGGGAAAGAAGAATCAAGATCAACAGCCCAAAGCTGATTCCTATGAGGCAGAGGCCAGAAATACCTCCCCTCGCCAGCCTTTTTTACCACTTCTGACACCAACCGTCCCTCCCACGGCACTCTCTACTTCTCTGCTGAGTTCGATAATTTGTTGCAATGGCCATAGAGAACTCACAGATCATACTCACGCTTATGGGGTTTATTAGGGAAGTAACAGGTTACAGTTCAGGTTCAGGAATGCGCAGGATACAGGTCTTCCATCAGAACGGCCTCTTCTCAGCCATGCCTGCAGGCATGTCTCTCTCTGGCCCCTTGGCCTCTGCCCTGCTTGGGCCAGTGTTACAAAGCTCTTTTAGCTCTGCTTATAAGTGCCCAGAGGTACCCCACTCTGCCAGTAAGCCTCAGCCCAAAGGTGTTCAGCTCCAACTCCGTGGATCAGCAAACCTAGCTCCACCAAGTGCCCAGAGGCACCTCACTTCACCAGTAAACCTCCTGCCCAAAGGCGCTCAGCTTTCTCGCCCAGTGAGCCGGGAAGCCCACTGTGCTGTCTCCTGCCAGCCTCTCCTGCTACCATTTCTCTGCCACCACTTCTCACCGTCTTCAATGTTACAGCTCTCTATCTCTCAGTCTCCTGGTTCCAGGAGCTTCTCAGTGCAGGGATTCCAGGTCCAAAGGATGCACTCTACTCCTGGCTCTTGTTTCTTGGTGGTGGTGAGATCCTCTCTCCCACCTCTGGGATGGCTCGTTTTAAGCCTATCAGGATGGCAAAATGGACCAATCCCTTTGTTAGGGTTCCATATACTTTATTTGCATAGTCCCACTCAATCACTGCTTGTGAGTCACAAAGACTATGGCTACAAGGCCATATAAAGTAATTCATTTCACCACATGGTCTTATAGTTCACTAGTTGGCCTGCTATAGACATATGGCTGAATGAGCTGACGTAGAGCAGTTACAATAGCGAAAATAATCTCCCCAGAGATTAAAAGGGCTTGAGGGCAGGCAGGTGAGGGTGGTGAGGATTTCATAGCACCTAATATAGCATTGCTATGAGTTGGAATCGACTCGACAGCAACAGGTTTTTTGTTTTTTTTTTTGTTTTTTTAATGTAGCATCTAGGGGCCCTGGTAGTGCAATGGTTAAGTGCTCAGCTGCTAAAGGAAAGGTCAGTGTTTGAACCCTCGAACTGGCTCTGCAGAAGATCTGGTGATCTGCTCCCATTGGCCTAGGAAACCCTCGGAGGCAGTTCTGCTCTGTCACACGCTATGAGTGAGAATCGACTCAATGGCACAACAACCACAACAACAATGTAGTGTCATTTTGCCTGTCTTTTCTTCCTGTGTTTTTACACTGTTGGAAAACAGTAGTGAGAGGAAAGGGCTCAAATCTGGCAGTCTAGTGTCAAGGGTGAGAAAACTGAGTTCAGAGAAGTGTGCCTTTCTCCCAGTCATTTGATTCAAATGAGTTACATCAAAATACAGTAGCAGTATCTTATTTCAGAATATGTGAACTGGAACATCTCTTAATCTTCAGTGTTTCTGTGCATCTATGAGGTGTACAAATGGGAGATGAATTTATGACTCCTGCCTTAGGTTCCATTCTTTCCCTAAGAAAGACGTTCGACCCAACCACCACCTTGTGAGCTCATCCTTGCAATTTTACCTCAGCCCAGGGCAGAACAAATGCTTTTTATTGAACTATTCAAAAGTAGTAAAAAGTGAGACAAAGAGAAAAGCATGAGGCTCAGGAGTCAAAGAGAAGCCAGTTCCAATACAGGCTCACTCTTTTCCGCTGGCTGACTTTGCGGAAATTATTTAACCCTCTGAACTTCATTGCTCAGGTATAACATGGGGATGATAATAACACCTACCCCAGGAGCTGGCCGTGAGTATAAAAGAAAATGTGAAGAATTTTGTTCACGGTAGGCACTCAATAATACAAAATAAAGCAGGTATCTCCACATCTTTAACATCAAAGGAGGCATAGGGCAGTTAAGATGGTACCTCACATCAAGTATCTTGCAAGAGGATGTCAGAAAGTACTCCATTCAGCACTTTGTTATAGAACAATGGCTGTACAACTCCTCAGGAATTAAACAAGCTCTTAAAATCACTACTTAAAGGAGCCCCAAAGGTTAAGCAAAGATGTCACCTTGAAGACTAAGGTGCACCTGACCCAAGCCATGGTATTTTCAATCGCATCATATGCATGTGAAAGCTGAATAATGAATAAAGAAGACCAAAGAAGAACTGACGCCTTTGAATTGTGGTGTTGGCGAAGAATATCGAGTATACATACCATGAACTGCCAAAAGAACGAACAAATCTGTCTTGGAAGAAGTATAGCCAGAATGCTTCTTAGAAGCAAGGATGGCGAGACTATGTCTTACACACTTCAGACATGTTGTCAGGAGGGATCAGTCCCTGGAGAAGGACATCATGCTTGGTAAAGTACAAGGTCAGCGGAAAAAAGCAAGACCCTTAATGAGATGGACTGACACAGTGGCTGCAACAATGGGCTCAAGCATAACAACGATTGTGAGCATGGCTCAGGACCGAGCAGTGTTTCATTCTGTGGTGCATAGGGTTGCTATGAGTTGGAACCGACTTGATGGCATCTAACAACAACAAAGGTTAATCTCATGGAAATTTATAAAATGCCCCCCTCCCTCCCCGATAGCCTGTTCTGGGCTATTCCCGAGGGTGGCTCTCAGGGCCAATTACCTCACATTCACAGTACAGAGAGATCAGACCTGAAATGCCCACCGTGAGGAGGCTCTCCTGAGGCAGCAAGTTCCTGCTTCCGTCATGTTCCAAGCCAGCGCGAGGAGCACCTGTCCAGGGCGTGAGGAAGTCTCATTAGATGGTTCCCTTCGTACCTTCTGAGGCTAGAATTCCGGGAATGTCTTTACTTGCAAAAAATAAAATTCCTTAAGTCAGTTGTTCAGCAACATCAGAAAGATTCTTTTATAAGACGGAGTAGAGTGCTTGGAAAAAAATAAACCCCCAAGAAATCAGAACCGTCCTCTTGATCCACTGGCTGTGCTGTGTGAGAGGTGTTTTTGGCTTTAGCGCTTCAGTTACCTGTATTATTGGGTGTCGTGGAGATGTAGGATCAGATGAGGCCAGTGTTAGTTCAGTGTCTATCTGCTACCTGGTAAAGAGCAAACTGCTTATATATCTTGCTTTCCGGGGGCTCACAGTCAAGAAAAAATATTTGGAAGATCTATTCTTTGTTCACCGCCGGAGATAAAAGAGGGAAATCCAAGGATAAAGAAACTAAAAATGTGAATGCAAATTTGAATACAGGAAGACTGCGTGGTTTTCCTGAGTCCATCTAGTGGCGTGGGGTGACAAACTGTCACCTTCTCGAGAGCCAACACCCACACCAGCTTTATACAACTGGGCACTGCGCACAGTATGCCATCTTGATCTGGTGGAGAGCTTTTTTTTTTTAATTGTAAGAAATTTCTGGACTCTCAATTGTCCAGAAAACACGTGAGTTTCAGGTTTTCAGATTTTTTTTTTAAGTCAAAGTTTGTAGACGACCCCTCAGTGTAGCACATTTGCCTTGGCGAGGTGGACAGGGTACACGACACAAGAGGACTGCCCCCCATGTTAATGGTTGTGCTGTGTTTGGCTCTTCTCTGGGTATGTAGCCACAGGTGTGTTCATCAGCACTAAAATCTCTCCGACGGTAAAATCATCACTGCTGTTTACAATTTCCCTCAGTTACCCTGGAATCTGTAGCCAAAGAAAGTGCTCATTTGAGGCATAGTACTATAGTAACTGAGTTTTTCACACACAGAAATGCAATGTTATTATACTAGACACCAGCTCTCTGCGTCCTGGGAACTGAATTTATCTCACTGCACTTTAAAATTCAGGAGTCCCTTGGTGGTGCAAATGGTTAATGTGCTCAGCTACTAACCAAAAGTTTGCTGGTCTGAATCCACCCAGAGGCATCTCGGAAGAAAGGCCTGGTGATCTACCTCCAAAAAATCAGCCGCTGAAAACCCTATGGAGCACAGTTCTACTCTGCACACACAGGGTCGCCGTGAGTTGGAATCAACTTGACGGCAACTGGTACTGGCAACTAGAAAATTCAATTGGCAATGGCCACAGGGTCTTGTGAGAAATGGAATGAAAAGTTCCCCTCTGTAGGGTCTTTTTTAGCAGGAGATCCAATGAGAGAGAGCCCAAGTAGTTTTGGTCAGATTTTCACAAAAAGGACCACGGCAGTTGGAAGCAATGCTGATGGCTGCCCTCATGAGCCTCCCCTAACGCTGCTGTCTTCTTTTCCCAGGGAGGAAGAGATAGTCGTTCTGGATCACCCATGGCGAGACGCTGAAGCCTCATGTGGCTATTACAGAACCCTGTGCTCTGCTTCTTAATACAACTGCCTTAAAACCTTAATACGTTTGCATAGGTTACCTAGTTATAGCAGATGTCCTCTCCCTTAACGCCCATTGAGTTGTGCGCGCAATAGGGCCCATCAAGCCCCATCCTACAGGAGAAACGGACACAAAACATGGCTAAAACTGCTCCTTTACGTTTGAAGATAAAGAAACCGACTCCTTACAACACAGCCCACTGCGACGTGCCCAGATGGCTGGGGGCCCAGCGCCGGCCCCACCCCTCCACCCTTGGACTTTGTGTTCATGCCAGCTGTGGCCTTGAGCCTGTGCCCTGGGCACTGCCAATCAAAGACACTGCCGCAGAGAAACGAGACCCGTGCAGGTGATAAGGACTGTTGATCCGGCTTCCTTTGGTTTTCTTTTCCTGCCCTCGTCTCCCCCCTACTACACTAGGTTCCCGTAACAGGATCAGGGAGTGGTTTGCTGATATGGAGCTTTGGTACGTGAAGGTGGCCCGGGTGGCTGGTAGAGTTCCACGTGGTGCAGCGAGAAAGGCGGCGCCCCTCAGGCGGGTCCGCTCACCACACCCCGATTCGCTGAAAGCGTGCATGACAGAAAGAGGAAGGGGACGCGTCCAGCTCGGGCTGGCAATGGCCTCCAGCGGGAAACGGGCTTGGCAGTGGGACGGCAATGTCACCATCCCGTGGCTCTGGGCATCCAGAGCCCAGCGGCCTCCCGCAGTTGTGCCAGCCCAGTGTCCGAAGGAGCGCCAAGGGGGAGGGTTCCGTTGTCGTGCGTCTCAGGGTAGAAAATGCTAGTTTTCTCGTTCGCAGTGTTTCACTGACCCCTCTTAAAGCTTCATGGGGCCAGATGTGTGCTTGCACTGGCAGTGCTCATGGCCATACTAACCTTCAGGGAGAAGATAACCGTTCTGTCCACTCCCCTCCTAGAGCCGAGCAGTGCTTAGCGCGTTAAACACAGGAGTGCACCTGTCTGGCATACTGCCAGGACCTGACCAGCCACAGGAGATAAAAGTTGCTCTCTGAACGCACCGTTTTCTAACAAGCTAACATTTCCTTGTGCCCGTCTAACATACTGATCTGCACGTTTTGAGTTTAGCACGTCTTCTACAGACCTCCTGAAGCGCCTCCCAGGCGGGCATCCAGTCCCCCTCAGAACGAAGATGAGGGGCCACCAACAAAATGCCAAAAATTCGACATTTTAATATCGTTCTAATTCTGAATGTCTAGTGTGGGTTTAACATGTCTATTAATAGATCACCTCAATGATGAGAGGGCAAAATAAAAAGGAAACCAAATTTTGGAAACCAACCTCCAAACTGCCAAACACAAGCACTCTACACCTTTGAGCTAGATTGGTGTGTTTGATTTGTGGCCACACCCAAACACAAGTGCTGCAGCACTGGGTTTCGTGGAAAGTATTCACTGTTCTTGAATATTGAAATAAAATAATAAACGTTTAATGAGATTTGCGTGTCTTATTTTGTGTTCTGGTTTGTAGACTGTGGGCGTATGTGAGGCAATGACCCTATCCCAAGTTGTTTGAGTGTGTGTCATATAAAGGCATGGGTCCAGGGTGTACTGTCATTAGACAGATAATAAAAGAAACGTGGAACAGCATATAATTATTAGGGCATTGATTCTCTCAATTGCAAGGTAAAGAATTTCCAATTTACCTTTAAACAATCTTCTAAAGTATACTGACATTTGGTCATTCTGCTAAGCACCTTGCTAATGTGAACTGAGCAGCAGTCCGTGAAAAATTACCCTGTGTCATTTTCTCGGGTGGAGAGGGATGTTGACAACTTATTTTAGAAAATATGCTCATGGTCACCCGTGGTTACAAGAATTATTTTTTCAACAAGATGAACTGAAATCTGTTTTTGTTTTGTTTTGAACAGAACCACTGGTTCCTTTCAATACTAAGTGGTAACCGTGAGAAACTATCTGAAACTAGGAAGGGGCCCCACCATGGAACAACTGCAGTTATACGAGCCTGCTGCTTGGGCATCCCAATGCTTCCAGACGCTGCAAAGGATCAAAGTGCGGGAAAAATGGAGACTTTGTACTCACTCACTCCAGTAATAGGAAAACAACACAGGCCCAGCAGCCTGGGGCTCAGCTAGTGAGGGGTCAACAGGTTCAAGGCCGCTGAGGGCCTTGCCTCCTCTCCTTTCTCTACCAACCCAAACCTTCTGGAGTGAGGAATTTGAACACTCATGCAGAAAGAATTACATTTAAAAAATTGAATACTTTTAGTTGGCAGTTATATTTAATGTTATGTATCTAGAAGACGCATTAAATGGCAAACTAAGGGCATATTATTAGTAGTACAGCTTTTACCATGATAATGCAATATTCTGACAAATATTTTAACATAAAGCAATGCAAAATACGAACTGAGCCATGGAACTTGTGTTCCCACTTACCGCTCATCTAAAGAAGTCTGCACAATGCCCTTAATGTTGACTAAAAATGCATTTTCTGGGCTGAGCTCCGAGAGAAGGGCTGCAGGGACCCACATCTTCTAAAGGAGAACGCTCTTCCTGATTTCGTGTTGTGAGCTATAAGGACAAAATCCTTCAAACCGAAATGCCAGTTGCTGTTGAGTTGACTCCAACTCTGGGGCCCATGTGTGTCAGAGCAGAACTGTGTTCCTTAGGGTTTTCGGTGGCTGATTTTTTGGAAGAAGTATTTCCAGGCCTTTCTTCCAAGGCACCTCTGGGTGGACTAGAACCGCTAACCTTTCCGTTAGCAGCTGAGTGCGTTCACCATTTACACCCTCAGGTTTCACGGGAGTCTACTGAACTGAAGAAAGGGTTTGTTTTTCTCCATCAGAACAGAAGAACACAATGATAATGCTTTATAATACGTCATTTCATTCTGGACAGGCAACCCCATGCCACTCAACCTGGATGGGCCAGAACTTTTCTCTACATTGGCAACTGCTTCAAAAATAGAACATTACATTGAAAAGGATAAAGACTTTGGATTATTAAGCTTGAGAGATGACTGCAGGAGCACTTGGAAGACTGTAGGGTATTTAAGGCATATGTCAGCTGCTGTGCATCACCCGGAGCTCCTGAGAGAGTGACTGAGATAACCTCCAGGCCGGCTGTCTGTGCTAAACTCAAGAATGTCTTCCAGAGAGCTCGGTTACCAGGGTTACCAATGACTACTTTGTTCTGATTACTAAAATAGCATAAAACCATCTCTCTTTGTTGGTTCAGAGTAATGAAATCAGGGAGAAGCCATCTGTTTATTGGTGGAGAGGAAAGGGCTGTGTGAGGCAGTGTGGGGGCTGTACCCACTATCATTTTTCAGCCTTTCTCGGTGATGAAAAGGATTTATTACTTTAAAGGTACTAAAGCAAACCAAAACCAAACCCATTGCCATTGAGTCGATTCCGACCCTTAGTGGCCCTATAGGACAGAGTAGAACTGTCCCATAGGGTTTCCAAGGCTGTAATCTTCACAGAAGCAGACTGCCACACCTTTCTCCAGCTGGTGGGTCAAACCACCGACCTTTTGGTTACTGGCCGAGCGCTTAACCACTGCACCAGGGCTCCTTTTAAAGGTACTAGGTAACAAAAAGTCCTCCATAATGGGACTTGAATAGTACTATGGATGGTGTGAAATCAGTCATTAGTATTTATAAAAACAATTCCACTCCCACTGTAAGCTGATACAGGCCTCCAGAGGCAACTGACAATACATCGTCAAGAACTAGGAAAAGGCTGAGATTTCACCCCAGTGCCAGCTCACACATTGGCCTATCCCAGTCTTATGCATGCTGGCAGAAGACACGAGTCTCCTGGCTCAGAGACAAAGTGCTATTTATTACTTACCACAGTAGCAGTTGCCAGAGTGTCAGCGTTTGCACAGGTTCATCCAGCCCCAGTTCCCAGAGGGTGATGCCAAGAGGTCGCGGTGATGCCCGCACACACAGTAGGCTACAGGGAAGCCCAATCTTTCATGTTTAAATAAGAACACTCTACATGTAACAAGAAAGAGCCAAGCATTCTGGAAAAACTCATCTGGAGAAGCATTTTAAATAGCTGGGGCAATCTACTATAGTGGGAACAAATTTTCCATGATCTTACTGTTTTAAAACAAATAATCCTCTTCCTCCACTCACCATATTTTTAAAACTATTAAACAACATGCCTCTTACAAACAAGCAACAAGAATGACAAAATAGTTCCTTATTCCCTCTGAAAATTGCCCAGAGGGAAAATTATTTTGGTTATTTAAGCCCAAAAATGTACAGAGTCCCTACTCTGTGCTAGGAATAAGATTATACGAGAAAAAAGAAATACTTCTTTTGTTATTTCAACAGGATAATGACTCTATAAACTAAAAACTTCTAAAAATTTAGAAGTAAACTTTATCTTAAATAAAGATCAGATGAAATAAACTAACTTCACAGATATTTCGTGGAAAGTCCAAAACCCAACAAAGTCCATAAATGGATAAATTGATATTATGATTGAGTTTGTCTCCAAGTCACTGATTCTCTCAAATACCTTACAAAGGATAGGAATACTGGAAAATATCCTCAAGGATAGTAAATAAGGCATCCTCCATGGGTCTGAACTGATTACAATTTCAGCATTGTTATATCGCATTAACCCATGCTGAAAATGTTACTCGAGGAAAACGTCCATCATTACACTGTGAAAACTCACCCAGAGCCCAAATAAGTAAATATACAGGAGTTTTAAAATAGTACAAAAACTATTTTTATTATATTTAAAGCCAGCACAGTTGGCTTTTGGCATAACTATCCATTTCTAATACAAAATTGGACTAAATAAATATCATCCAAAGTATAAATAGACCATGAAACAATTTTGAAGATAAAAAAGGAACTCTCCTGTAAACAAACAAAAAAAATTTAATTTTTAAATTTTTCTTTAGTGGCAAATCAATCATGAATCACTAGGTCATTTTAGAATTTGTCAAACAGAACACAAGTATTGATTTAATACAAAAGTCTTCATGCTGAAAAGCATTACACATAAAAAAAGATTAAATAGCAAATTCTTTCATTATTACTGCCTATTGCTCCTGTCATTTATATGGACTAATCTTTATTTTTTAGGTGCTTAAATATTTTATTAGTCATCCATAAAAACTACCATCGTGCCTGCACGTACAGAGCGGGCAAGTATGGAAGAGAGAGAGAGTGGGCCCACTGTGCGTGTGTGCCTGGGGAGGGGGCAAGAGAGGAGTGATTTCCATTGGATCAACAATGGCCAAAGAGGGCACATGGTTTACTTATCTTACCAAGCCAAAGAAAATGTCTTTACTAGGGATGTGTAGGACTTCTAATCTTGTAAAAGATTCTGTTGCCTCTACTTTTCAAACAATGAAGAAGATACAACTAGATTTCAAAATAATTGTCATGAGTATAAAGTAAAAATATAGAGGCCCCAAACAGGTATATAACATTCCACTGCATTGGGGTATGTAAGTAGGCACTTTGGAAATTCTACTCTAAAAATGCAAAGTACCTATATTAGATGAATGTAGATTAAGTGGCAAAAGGAGGCGAACTCTAGGTTAGAAGCATCAGTTGTATAATTTCACCTCTCCCTCATTTACTATACAAGAGATTTTAGGAAAGGTTAAATTAGCAATCTTCAGTCCTTGGATTAACTTTTTTGAGGGGCTGCGGTGCACACAGTATTGACTTTGAAATAAGCTTCTGGGAAAAATTCTGCAAAAGGCAGGATGAGATATTGTTAAAAATAATAACCAGAAAAGCAGTTCTATGTATCTTAAATATTTTCTTTAAAAAGATACCGGTTACACAAATGAGTGTGAGGATCACTTAATGTAAAAAATGTGCATCTTAATGAGTTACAAATATTCTTCTAAAAAGAGGAAAGTCAGAGGAAGAACAGAAACCCACTTCTACTTTTTGAAATATTGTATCTTTACTAAGCCATGCATCCCTTCAACACAAATGTCATCTAAGCGTTCAGGTGAAGACACAGAACACTAGCTATAATTTTGAAAACTCAAATTCACATTTCCCTAAAAATGACAATGGGAGAAGTACAAAACACTGTACTAAAGCAACATTCCCAAGTTAGATGCTACAATCTTCCTCATGTTTTTCCCGTTTCATCAGTAAGACATGGCGGGGAGGAGAAAGCATGCTCTTGAGAGCCTCCCACTGTGGTTGGGACGTCAGCTGATCATCATGTGTGATGGAGTTTCTTTAATGACATATTTGTCTAAAACACACCAGATACTAAAAAGGGGCAAAAGTAGAACTTGTCTGGGGAACGAGGAGGAGGACCTTGAGTTTACATTTTTGAAAAAATGTTTTTACTTTAATCTATTGCCATTCTATGAAAAAATAACCACTTTTGCATTATCTCAATGATTGGATTCTATACCTGCTAGATTCCCGCTACTATCTCAACATCATATAAACTATATCCCAGCTTTAAGTTTAGCATCTTTGGAAAAAGAATTCATTCTTCCAGTTTACTTAAATGATTCACAGTTACTTTACCACAAACGTGGGTTAAAGACAGTTGTGAATTTTCAAAGGATCCCTCAATGATCAGGGTACTGCTTCGTAGGGCCAACAACAGAAAGAGTTAGGGTCAGTCATGATGTTTGTGCAGGACTGTGCTGATGCTTACAGCTTGCCCCTCACTGGCCCATATGCCACATCCTGATTTTTTAAATCTGAAGCCTTTAAATAGACCTCGCAGGTTAAGCATTCATTGTCTGGATTTTATAGGTAAAGGAAACTATTGTTAGAGTTCTTTTCTTTTAAAAAGTATCTGAACTTGAAATTAATTCATGTGCCAAACTATTTTATATTAAACATTTAAAAAGGAAAAGAAATTAATCATATTTCCTAATTTAATTTTCTATTTATAGCTATTCCAAAGCAGATATGCTGTGGTATTTCTAAAAATACAGTTATCTATCCTTAAAACCCTGGTTATGTGTGAGGCTAGAAACCTCTCTCTAAGAAGACTTTTTATTTATCAGTAAAATATAAAGATCAACCATCAAAGATTCAAGTGAAATTATGTCTTTACAAAACCTTATATTTCAAGGGGTGTTTTGCAAAGAAGCAGCGTTTATAATTAGGAATACATCAAAATAATACATGAATGTCTTGTGTTTGCCTGCTAAATAAACTGAGCAAAGTCACAAAAATGGATTATTAATTTTTTTTTCTTTTTCTTTAAACAAAATAAAAATAGGCTTTAGATTCTTCCGTTAGGGCCTTACTTAATCAGGCAATTAACCAACACAGTTCACTAAATGAGGCTTTCTATATAATTATAATATAATTAGGAATTAAACAACCCCCTTTTAGACACTGTCCTGAGCTGGCATTGAATGCTAAAAGCAAAATAAATAACCCAGCAAGAACAAAAATTTAAAATTCCATAAATTTAAAATTCCATAAATTTCAATCTTGGGGATATTTGGTCATCAAAATAAATCAACATTACTAAAATATTTTAATACAAAATTATGAAAGAAAAAGTGCATTAAAAGTTGAACCTTTAAAACACCAGCATAATTACAATTATTCTGAATACACTGACGATAGCCAGGTATACACGCTGACATTTAAGAGACACCTCAGGATTTATAATAAGAAGTCCAGTATCACAAGGATAAGTGAAATAAGGCTTTTTCTTCCCCTTAAAAAAATATACAATACACCAAGCAGTTTGGAAAAGAAGTAATATTATTTAACAGTTTTCTGGCTTAAATATTTTCACATAACAAAAGTTTTCATATCACCATCAATATCACTTATATACAGATGCCAAAAGTGAACAGCAACGAGGACAAAAATCAAGATACTCTTTCAAGATAACAGCAAAATGTCTCTCTGTAAGAATCTGAAATGATCTCCTTTCTCAATATACAAAGTCCATACAATATTTATAATAAAACTACTCTCTTCTGAAACCAAGGAGGCAATGACAGAAAATAAAGGCAATTATTTTTCAGGAAAAAAAATAAAACCCGGCTTTATGTTACAACGAAAAGATACGCACTTATTAATGAGTCCAATACTGACCTAGAAGCGCTCACGGGCAGGCGGACGCTGGCGCTCTCTGTCGGGGGGGGACTAGTGCTCCTATTTACAAAATATACTGCTCAGCCACACAGAGGCCCGTATATCTATGTACACATGTATTTATATATAGAACATATAAATAATTTGAAAGGAAACACTAAAGTCAGGTAGGGGTCTTCCATCTTTGGAATGTTACAGGGATGACTTGCACTCACCCGGGTGGGCATGGGGTTCAGTTTGGACGTGTTTGATGTGGCACCGTTGATGATACTAAAGAAGTCCCTGAAATAAAACTATGCGTGTTTACGCATGGAAAGAACATCCTGGGGCATCTGTGGATCCTTATGCTTGGACTGCACGTACTTTCTATTTGCTGAGGAGGGCAGGCCCGGTCCATCTGCTCCAAGCACAACCCTGTCTGTCCTTTCCTGCGTACGGCTGGTGCTTTCTGCAGTGGCCACCCGACTGCACACGGGCCGCAGCGCCTGCACTGCCACCACACACGCGGGCAGTCAGCCTCTCTCTGCCCCACGTGTGTGCCCCAGGTACTGCTTCCTAGTGACTAATGGAGAGAGAATTGGGCCAGCCATCTCTCAGGGTATCAGTTCTGTTAACTTACTGTAGGCTAAAAAGGGTCCGTTTCTACCAATTTTCAAAATGCACAGAGAAAAAAGAAGAAAAAACTTTCCCGTGCGTTATGACATTTTTTCTGAACTTCACGCACCTCTTGTGTTTGTTTTTTAGGCTCTGCTTCTTATAACAGAAAGCCTGAGGTAAAGCCACATACACTTTTTCCATGTTAACTCTTGTCTTTGCTAATACAAAGAAATCACGCTACAATGGTGGTCAGATCCAGTTAATTCCTTTGTGACCAGATGCACTGGCCGTGGCGGGAAGACAAGACTGCCTGCTGGAGCACCTGAGCTCAGTGACTGGAGACGGATGAGGACTACGCGCTCACACGTTCCCAGTCTTTTCCTGTAAGTCTCTGAAAGACAATGATTCTTTAGATAATTTTATAGCTAAAAAACGATCGTGTTAACATTTTTAACACTTGAAGCTTCAAGACAGAAATTCCAAGTGCTTTGTTCTTCACAGAATTTGACCTCAGAAATGTTTGTAAAAGTGTACTTCAGGCTTCCATCAGAACACGTTGGCCAGGGTCTGCCACTCGCCGGCCGACTCCTGCACCACCTCCTCCAGGTGCAGCGTCCGGCCCAGCTCCGCCCCGTCCTGCTCTGGGTGGCTGGTGGTGTCCTGCAGGGAGCCTGTGGGTGGAGGAAGGACAGGACAGACCCCTTAGAGCTCAGTGAAAAGGTCATGCACACTCAAGCACGGGCTTTCAGGGGAGCAGAGACCAGAGGTTCCTATGCTGACGTGCTCTCCATCCCACTGAAAACAAGACTAACCTGAGAGACAGGTGAAAGAATTCTGTCAGCAATGACTGCTACTCTGGAAATGTGGACATATACCCAGCATTTCCACAGAGTCTGGCACAGCCACTCCCAGAAAGGATATTGGTGATGAGTGGTTGACAATAATACTGGTTACATGCCTGGTTTTTCTAGTAGAAAGTAACACAGGAAAGACTACAGTGTGGACGTTAAACAAACCCCCCCACGACACAAGTGTTCTGTCCCGTGGGTCCCCAGACAGTCCCGACCGACACAGTCAGGACACTAACACCCATCAGGAGGGGTCCACGCCACCTCACACAGCCAAATGGACCTGAAACACACCTCTCCAGGACACGGTGGTCTCTGCCACGGACACGCTGGGCTTGGTTCTGATTTCAGGATTTCTGCCTTACTTCTCGACCTGCTCTAGCTAACCAATAGTCTCCCCTTTGTGAGAAAGACGCTGATGGTTTACTGGAGTCAGTGTGGGAGACAGGCGAGCGAGAGGGGGTGAGCGGCAAGACCACCATCCTGAAGGCTCAGTGGGCTGGTCCTAAGGCACAGCTGTCCACACAGGCTGGGAGGGCGGGCAGTGACACCACACACCTGAGGTGGCACCTGGGTGTGGACACCTCCTGCACTGCTGTCCCTTGTCAGTGAGGAAGGTACTTCTCAGAATCACGTGTGCTCAGGCCCAGGGAACCCTTCTGCTCCCAATAAATGTCTGTGTCCTTGGAGAAATAGTTCAGAAATTCAATCTATCCGTGTGTGTATGTGTGTGTGTGTGTGTGTGTGTATGTGTACGTGTGCGTGTGTGGTGAGGGAGGGCTTCTTCTGGCTAGTCCACGGCCAACCTGAGAGACTGCATACTCTAAGTATTAAAGTATATGAAAGTATCAAAAAGTATAAGGAAGCCCAGGCTTTTAATCTTGGCTTTAGTCCTGTCTAACTTGACACACTGCCTACTGAGCACCCAAACCACAGTTCCTCACCTACAGAGCTGAGCCCACTCCGCCAACACACACATACCCTGTTCTCCCACCCACCTAGCCATGCACACACACACACACACACACACACACACACACACACACAGCAGCCCCATGCGCCCCGCCTGTGTAGCTGTGTACACACACACGGCACCTCTCGTGCGCCCCACCCTACCCACAGAGCTGTGTGCACGCACCCTCTCACACACATGCGCCCGGCGCCCTGTCCTACCCGCGTAGCTGTGCGCACGCCTCATGTGCAGCTTCATGTTGCTCTTCTGTGTGAAGCCCATGGCGCAACACGCACACTTGTAGGGCCGCTCGCCTGTGTGCTTCTTCATGTGCACCTGCAGCGCGCTCTTCTGGTTGAAGGCCTTCTCACAGAGTGTGCACCGGAACGGCCGTTCCCCTGGGGAGAGAGCATCAGTGTTGGGTGGGCCCATCGCACCCTGGAACACAGCACTGACGAGGGCGGTCGCACGGTAGCTGCATCCTGCCACCCCAGTTGCTAGTTAACAGGGTTCTAGCCAAAACCCCCAGGTAACATGTGAAATGATGCCTAATCAAAGCTACCAGAAATCACATAAGTGTCCACAAACAAGCGTCGAGTAGACAGGGTATAAACAAAATGTGGCCAGTACCTTTTGGGCAGTGAAGCAAAAGGATATTAAGGACACGAGAATATCATCCCCACGTAATAAAAATGTCTGCCCAGCACAGGATGGTGTGGCCAGTTTATTATGCAAAGCATCGTTTTGCAAGGTTCACATTGATTTCCATTTTCAAAAGGAGTAAACTTACATTTACTTGAACTAGCCAGTGAATCCATCTGAATAAATGAAGAGTCTGATTTATTCAATTTTTTTTTTTAATGTTCTCTTATTGCTTTCAAGTAAATACAGAAACTGAAAAACGCCCTTGCTGGGAGGATGTGGAGATTAACAGGCTGGAATGACTTAGAACCTCCACTCCGCAAACCATACATCAGAGCTCACATCATCTCCTCGTGCGTCCCTGTATCCTGCACTCGTGGCTGCCTCCTGCCAGGCTCTCTGAGCCACAGGCCTGTGTCCTCACCTTTGTGCAGCATGTGCTCGCCTATGACTGCCCCTCCTCCTCTCCAGCAAACTAGACAAATGGGGTCTCAACACTGCACCATCCCCGAGGGTGCCCGTCTGGACCCCAGGATGGGATATGCATAGGATGAGGCCCCGCAGGGTAGCCTGCTGGCTCATATGAGCCGGGGACGGGGCAGTGATAGAGAAGTAGGGCCCGCCTGCCACACTCCAGGGCACAGAGGTCGCTGATGACATGGCAGGTGTGCTGCAGCAGGGTGTGGAGTCAGAGGGGTTAGCAGAGAGAGATGTGAGACTGCATCTCTTTGTTTTGTTTTGATGCTTTGTCTCTAAGATGACAGTCTTTGAGTTGACTGCGGTGATAATGGGGAAAGCTGGTAGGGAGGGACATCTGAGGACAGAGGAGAAATACAAAGAACGACGCTCCTCTGGAGGCATGAGGGGAGCAGCTTGGAAGCCTGGGATGGGACTCATCTCCCATCAGCAGGAGGGGTGAAGGAGGGCCCAGCAGTGACTCCACAGGCCTGGCGGAGGAGTTGGGGTAGGGGTGGCCTGATGCCTTCTATTTCTAGGGTTATAATATAATTAGTTGTAAGACAGTCTCTTTAGCAAATGGTGCTGGCATAACTGGATATCCATCTGCAAAAAACTGAAACAAGACCCATACCTCACACAATGCACAAAAACTAACTCAAAATGGATTAAAGACTTAAATATAAAATCAAAAACGATAAAGATCATGGAAGAAAAAATAGGGACAACGCTAGGAGCCCTAATACATGGCATAAACACAATACGAACTATAAGTAACAATGTACAAGCACCAGAAGAGAGACTAGAT